ATTTTCTTTTAACCTATAGTTTGTCTTTTAAGGCTTTTTTGTTGTTTTAGTCATCAACAATTGAACTTTGAAAAGTTCTTACTGGTGATGCAATAATTTTTAGCTTTTTCATATTTTTGTTTTAGAAAGTTTTCCCTGTTACAATGACCTAAAACTTCTCTTAAAATTTTAACAATTTAACTTTCTGCATTTTAGTCTGCAGAACTTCTTTTTTTTTAATTTTATGTGTATGCATGTAGTACCTGCATGTAGGTAAGTGCACCCATGTCGTACAATGCCTGCAGAGGACAGAAGAGGCTGTCAGATCCCCTGGAACTGGAGTTACGGACAGTTGTTAGCTGCCATGTGGGTGCTGGGATTCGAACCTGGGTCTTCTGCAAGAACAGTCAGTGTTCTTAACCGCTGAGCCATCTCTCCAGCCCCACAGAACTTATTTTTATGTACAGTCTAATTTCATCTTTTTCTAGTCTGTGGCCAGTCATCCCAGCCCTGTTTATGACATAGACACACTTTGCTGCTGACTTGCAGTGCTTGCTCTGTCACATGTTGCTGTGTGCTGGGTTTGCTTCTGATTTCTCTACTTCCCTGGTTGGCTGGTTGGTTGGTTTTGGACTATTTGTCTTTTGCTTATACCACCATACTTTATTGCAGTGTATTCACAAGTTCTGGCAACTAGCAGAAAAACCCTCCTTTATTACATCTTCAAATTACTCTTGCCTATGTGTTTGCTGTGCTGGGGATCAAATCCAAGGCCTCAAGCATGCTAGGCAAGCAAGCATTCCACTACTGAGCTGTATCCCAGCTCCTAAAGCCTATTTTTGTGTCTGAACTTCATGTAGTATAGCCCCATCAAAAATACTCTTTTTAATTTAAGTATGTAAGACTTAGGTTTAGCTTCAAATGACAGATAGCTTGGTGTAGTGGTGCACGACTTTAATCCCAGCACTCAGGAGGCAGAGGCAGGCAGAGATCTGTGAGTTCAAGGCCAGCCCTGTCTATAAAGTGAGTTCCAAGCCACTTGGAGCTACAGGGAGACCCTGTCTAAAAAAAAAGACAGATAACACAAAATAGCAAAAATTCAACAAAGTTATTTATTTCCCTCTCATAGAAGTCTAGAAATGGGCAGCCCTGGACTGGTGGAGCAGGGTCCCAGACTTGTTAGTTTCTGGTTCCTTTTACCTTGTTGCTGTTGTGTCCCCAGCACACAGCAAGGGGTTCATCAGCCAAGAGGAGTGTGCCCCCTCCTGCCTTGCAGGACTTCCTAGAAGTTCCAGATACCTTGTCTGGTCCATACCATTGACAGAAACTAGTCTGTAACAGGAAGCTGAGAAATGCAGCAGCCGTGAGTCACAAAAATACTTTGTTTTTAAAGGAAAAGGAATGTGGGTATTGGGCATCTACCAGCAGCCTCTGCTGCATCCTGGAACCAGCAGTTTCTGGGTAGATGGTAGATATTGGGTCTTCTCAGGCTCAGTGAGAGCTGTGTCAAACCTTTCTATTCATGTGGGCTTTCTGCTGCCCTTCAGTTGAGTGTATAATTTTATCCATAGAGATCTTGTAAGTCCTTTTTAAAATGTAATCCCTACATCTGTTATAGTGTTTTTCTTATTTGTATTTGAGGCATTCTTACTGTGTAGCCCAAGCTGGCCTTGAACTTGCACAGTACTAGGATTATAGCCAGGCTCTGACCTTACGGTTGTCATTACTATGTATAAACAGTAATGTTTTACACTTCCATCTTCAAGTGCTCACAGTAGAGGTGATGCCATCAAGACTTTTTAAACTCTAGTTGACTTTTTAAACTCTAGTCTCTTATTCTCAGTGCACACTGCTTTGTCTGGACAGCCATCATTGTGAGTAATGGCAGCTGTATCTCTCTTCATAGCCTTACACAGGGTTTTCCATTTGGCTTCGTTTTTCATTTTGTTAAGCTATGACTTGTGATGGATGGAAGAGGTGGTAATAGGCATTCTTGGCTCTTCGTGAAGGGTACTCATTTCTATCAAGTTGTTTGCATTTCTGTCAGAATGAGCAAATTGAATTTTCTCCTTTAATCTATTAATATGTAGATTTTATCACTATATTTTCTAAGATTTCTGAGATAAATCCCAATATGATGCCTCATACTAGATAAGATGGTAATTTTTTAAGCATGTTGGATTGTTTGGTAATACCTGATTTAGGATTACTGCATCTGCCCATAAATGAAAATCAAGTTGTTCAGTGATTTCTCCCCTGACTCCCAATGCTCTTCTCTGATTTTAAAGACAATATTACCTTAGCCTCAAGAAATTGGCTTTCCTTCTTTTTCTTTCTCTGACAGTTTGTCTGAAATAGTGAGTCCTTAAAGGTACTATAAACTTGGGCCAGACATGGTGGCACAGGCCCTTAGTCCCAGCACTTGGGAAGCAGAGGCAGGTGGATCTCTGTGTGAGTTCCAGGCCAGCCAGGGCCACACTGAGGCCTCATCTCAAACAAACAAACAAAAAAGTTTCGTAAACTTTTCAGTAGATTTTTTCAGTACTATTTTAATTATATTAACATGCCTACAGAAGAGTATACCTCATATAATAGTCATTTTACACATTCATTCTTTGTATTTTATTGATTTTGTTCAACATTGAGCTTGAGAGATCTGTCCATACTGTTTTTCTGTGATTGAAGTTCATTCATTATTCTAACTGATGTGTAGTATTACATTCTGTGACTGTCCTCTAATGTCTCCATTCGACAGTTAATAGGCATTTGGCTAGTTCCGGTCTTTGATTAGTACAGACAGTACAGCTGAGAATATTCTAGATAGTGTCTTATGGTGAGCATGTTTTGCTCCAGAAATACAATTGGTGAGTCATACACTCTGTTGAGCTTCAGTAGGTGCTTCCGAATGTGTTTTGAAATGATTATTGATTTCTATTTCTTCTTGAATGAATTTTCCTAGAAAGTACCTTTCATCGAAATTATTGATATGAATAACATATTCTTAATGGTTTTGAAAAGCTTGACAATTACCCACTACAGATCCCCTAATTCTGTTTATTTGTATTTCTTTCTTTGTCTCTTTGTCAAGCTTGCCAAGTTCGTGCATTTTATTTGACAGCGACCATTGGTTTGTTTCTCTCTGTTGTGTCTTTATTTTCCACTTCTTTTTTTCTTTGCTCTAGTTCTTTGAGACAATATCTCCTCCATATGTAGCCTGGGCTGGCCTGAAACTCACTGCTCCAGCTCATGGTCCTCCTCCTCAGCCTCTGAGTGTTGGGATTACAGACAGGCACCTGACCTGATGTCCACTTTCTCTTCACTGGGTTGTTACTTTCTGATTTAGCAATGGAGAAACAAACTAGAACAGGGATCTAATGAGTTGGATGTACATGCTATGCTGATTCTTGCGATGAAAGGTATCGCCTCATGAATTTTGAAATTTTAGATTCTGATCTTTTCCCCACTAGATCTTTACCTGTGAACTCATGTAGCCCTTAGCTAAGAGAATCTGTATTTGCTTCAGCTTAGATCCTTAAATGCATTCATCTCCATCCCAGAACTGCTGTTTGTGTAACTGTTTGATAGGTTGAGACCCATATGTACATACGTGGTATAGTATGAACCCAAAATTTGGCTGCAGTTCTCAGTTCCCTAGAAGGACCCAGACTCCTGATCTCTTTTTCTCTGTGGAAGCGAGGCTCTGGGGTTTCATCTGTCTTTTTTTCTCCTTCCCTGTTCTTTCTCTGCTAGGGCTCAAACCCAGGGCCTAGTGTGGTTGTTAGTTAATTATTATACCATTTAGCCATATCCCCAACCTGAAATTTGGTGGTTTTTTTTTCCCCCCTTTTTTTTTTTTTTTTTTTTTTTTTTGTCTTTTTAAGACAGGGTCTCCCTAGCCCCAGCTGGCCTGGAACTCACTGTGTAGACCAGACTGGCCTGGTACTCCCAGAGATCTGCCTGCCTCTGCCTCCCAAGTGCTGAGATTAAAGGCATGTACTATCATACCTGGTGAGATTTCATATTTCTTATTCTCCCTTTCACCAAAGTTGCTGCCAGTTGAAGGTTGTGCCTTTAGGAAAATCACTGAGCTCAAAGTCACAGCCTCTTCATGCCCAAGTGGCTATGGTGAATGGGGCCTGTGCCCACCCTTATAGTTAGCTTTCTCCCTCTCTGGTTCCCCATGGCTGCTTCTCTGGTACCTTAGAATTTCCATGTGTTCTCTTTGTGTTCAGCTCTGAGTATAAAATATTCTTAAGTATTTTATCCAGAAGTTTTAGGTCTTCATAAGGATATAAAGATTTTCAGATTGTCATAACCTGTTAATTTTGCCAGAACTCTAAGACATCTAGAAATAGAGATTTTAAATTAGTGAATTCAAAAATTGGTACATAGCTAAAAACAAGCATTTTAGAAAGCATCATGCAAAACATTTTTCACATTTTAAGCAAGAAGTGCCATTACCATTTATCTTTGGTATCCAGAGCCAGCTCTTGAGAGTTACTAGCTTCTGAGCCTTTTGCACTGTTTGTAAGATGGCCTTTGCTCTCCTTGTTCTAGATGCAGGCTTTGTTATGACCTGCAGTCTCCTTCCAGTAAGGTGCCCAGGACTAAGTAGAAGAGTATGAAGGAAGAAGCAGTGTCTTAAAGACTATAAGAGACAAGCTTGCTTGTTGCCTCCTTTCCATGTCTGGGTCCCTATTAAACCCTGTGAAACCGTGAGTTCCAGGGTCAGTGGGGCTAACATTAGGAGTGTCTGGTGTGACCTTTGCTGTCTTGTGCCCAATTGTACAGAGCCCTTTACACTTTGTGTTACCTTCCCTTCTCTTCTGGGCCCTATAGCAACTGCTGATTTTATCCTCTTGCTTGAAAGGTGTTGGGAAATTTGAATTGCTATACTTCAGCAGAGTGGTGCAGTACCTCATTTCCTGCCTACAGATGTGACTGCCTCTGGGAGGAGACCCCTCCAAGCATTCCGGATGTTCTGCTCCTTTTCTGATGATCCTGTGTTGCTCTCTTTTTAGGGAGGAATGATCAATTGGAATCGACTTTTCCCTCCTTTACGTCAGCGACGAAATATAAACTACCAGGACAGTCCACAGTCTGAACAGCAAGCATCTCCTCCTCTGGAAGTTTCTGAAGAGCAGGTAACCAATGAGACCTATACTCAGTCTAGTCAATGCTTCAGGCTTGAAGCTTGCTTTGGAGGTTGGGAAGATAGTTCAGTTACCAAAGTGCTTGCCCATGTAAGCATGAGTACCTGAGTTTGAGCCTTAGCACCTACATAAAAATGCTGGCATTTGTAATCCTGGTTCTGGAGGCAGAGACAGGAAGATCCTAGGGCTCACTAGACAGCCAGCCTAACCTAATGTATAAGACCTAGGTCTCAACAAAAGAAAATCCTGTCTCGCAGTTCTTCACAGCAGCTTAGGAATGACATCCAAGGTTGACCTCTGGCCTCTGCACAGGCACACACACACCTCACATACACTCACACATTCACAGAAACTAGTAAGTATGGTGGTATATGCTATAACCTCATCATTCAAAAGACTAAGGCATAATGATCTCAAGTTCTAGGCCAGCTTAGGCTACATAACAAGACCCTGTTACCAAAACTAAAAAGGAAACTAATTAAGTTGGCTCCTTATAAATGGTTGAAAGATGAGTGGAAGGCTAGGGAGAGAGCAGCATGTTTGTGTGGTTTTGGCTTTTATGATTTTAAACTATGTTAATGTTTAACATTCAAGAAGTAGATCATCAAAAAAGGGAACCATCATAAAACTGAAAAGAAAGAAATGATCCAACTGAGGAGGGAGATACCAATGTTAGTAACTTTTGAAGAAAATATACCTGAAATTAGGTTATTTTTCAAGATGCTTCAAAAGCAATAATTACGGTATTATGTTGTATGTATTTACATTTGACAGATGAGGAAATAAGTTGGTCTTACTGTAGAAGAAGGAAAATAGAAATATAGAACAAGGAAGGGAAAGGAAGAGCCCTGTTGGTTGGGTTGGGTTGAAATCAACATAAAGTTGTAATCTCTCACTCTCACTCTCACTCTCACTCTCGTTCTCTCGCTCTGTGTGTGTGTGTCCATGTACTTGTGCCCTTGCTCTTACTGAAAAGGCTCAGAAGCAATGACATTGCAGCAATGATGAACTGCTCAGATGTGGTTTCTAAACATTTTTACCACTGAAGTGAACCAGGCCTTTTTATTATAGTGGCTCCCAGGCCAGGGTAGGGAAGTTATAAGCTAACCCTGGACCACCTTGTACCTGCTAGTAAGGAAGTACTCTATGGCTGATAACATGTCATGAGGACTCCAGAGGCAGCTGAGGGGATTCCATTGGCCATACTGGTACATCAACTTCAAGTATCCAAGTAAAGACAATAGTATACTATAATCTATTGAGGTAGGGGGTCATGAGTTTATACTAATATTAACAGAGAAACATTCATATTAATACATAGGAGAGGGGCTGGAGAGATGGTTCAGCAGTTAAGAACACCGGCTGCTCTTGCAGAGGACCTGGGTTTGATTCCCAGCACCCACATGGCAGCTAACAACTGTCTGTAAAAAAAAATAATTTTTTTATTTATTATTTTTATTTTATATGTATGAGTATATTGCCTGCATATGTGTTAGTGCACCTGTGTTGTGCAATGCCAGTGAAATCAGTAGAGGCTGTCAAATCCCCTGGAACTGGACTTGGCCAGTTCCCCTTTGCCTGGCAACTTCTTATCCCACATTTACATTTCATTACCTTTCTAGGATAGGAGAACATCAACACAGGACCAGGTGTGCAGCTAGAGTTGTGTTGTTTTGCTTTCTGAGACAAAGTGTCACATTGTAACCCAGGCTGGCCTCGAACTCATGATCCTTCTGCCTCTGCCTTCCGGTGCTTGGCTTATAGACATATACCACCTCATCTGGCCAGCCAGAGTTCATTTGTGCTGCCTCCTAAGAGAATTCCTAGACAAATCATCTTCAGAGATAAGAAAAGTTGACATTCATAAAGTTAAAGTTACATATTAAAAAGTAAGATTAAAAGTTATCCGCATGGAAACAAATAGAAGATTCTGTTATGTTACTCTTTACCTCATACAGCAGTGAGTCACATTGTTCACAGGTGCTGTTAACCCGTATGGTCGCAGGTGATTTATTTTTTGGTTTTGGCAGTTGGAGGTGAAAACAAGGTGTTTAAAAGGGAGAGCAAAGAGAATGTCAGAATGCAACCGAAGTCTTGTAATGAGTTGTTTTTCCTTGATCCCCCCAGGATGACAGCAGTGAGGTTTACGTGTTGTTGATATCACTTTAAGCATCTTTTAAATCTTGTTTTGCATTGTGGGAATATATGAATTCATGAGAAGCCTACCTACCTTCCTCCCTCTTCCTCCCCCTTCCCTCCCCTTTCCCTTTCTCACTGCTTTCCTTAATCTTGTTTTTTGATGTTCCTAAAACTGGCAGGTACAGCCCGCACATCAGGGTTCTCACAGCTATTATTTGTAGTGCACACTCTTGGTATATCATTGTAGAAGATGAAAAAAGATGTTCTTGCCCTCAATACACTTACAATTAAGTTTAGGAAGTTACAGTTAATGTTTGACTTCTTGGTTAGTGAGGTAATTTTAGCTACTATCTAAAATATTACTCATATATTTAAATATAATTGAACTTTTTATCCTTAACTTTTCTGTTAAACACATCTGTATTTTCTATAAGTTTTAGGACCCTGTGCTGGTTGTTTTTGCAGTGTTGGGATTGAACTGAGGGCCTCAAGCGTGCTAGGCAAGCACTCTACCACTGAGCTGTATTCCTAACCTGAATCATATAATTTTTTAAAGATGGTTGTTTGTTTATTTGTTTGTTTGTTTGTTTGTTTGTTTGTTTGTTTGTTTGAGACAGGGTCTCACTGTATCCCCAGCTGACCTGGAACTCACTATGTAGACCAGGCTGGCCTCAGTTTCACAGAGCTCCAGGGGATCCGACATCTTCTGAGCTCTGTGGGTATTGCATAACACGGATGCACTTACACACATGCAGGCAATACACTAATACACATAAAATAAAAATGATCAATAAATTTTTTTTAATTTAAAAATAATAATACATGCTTTTAACCACTGACCCATCTCTCTAGCCCCTAACCCATGTAATTTTAGTGTATTAAAGAAACTTAGTAATCTAAACCCAGGAAAATAGAAAAAATTTTTAAATTTTTCTACTATAAACATATAGCTCAGGAATTGTCGTTGTTCTACAAGAAAACCTAGTAAACAGAGACCATATTCCATGAATTTTGTGAACAGACTATTCAAAGAAAATGTACATCCATGAAGACCTGTCATAATTTAACATACAGCATAGACAAGTGCCATCTCTGCTATTTGTTACTTTTGCTATTTTTAAGATTCAGGATTCTTCAAAATCCACCCCTATTTTTCAGTCACCCCTTGGAGACGCCATTCTAGGTCCTTTTAATCCATCTAAAGGAGGCTTTCATGGAGGTGGCTATGGTGAGGCTATGGAGCTGCGCCGTTCCCTGTGCTCCATGCTGGCACACATCACAGAAAGTCTAACGATGACCCCGAGAAGCGAAAGAAGACATCTGCTCGTGTCTTCTTATGCAGACATGCAGAGAGGACATTAAAAAAAAAAAAAAAACCACTAGTCTTTATCATTTTTATCATTTCACGGAACTGTCCAAGAAGTGCTCTGAGGGGAGTGATAGACAGTAGCGGAGGGGAGGGGGAGAAGCTGAATGTGTTGAAATGGCAGAGATAAAGCATACCATGATAAGGAAGTGAAGGATTCTGGACTAGCTCAGGGAGACAAGAAGGGCACAGATGCCTCTAGAAGGCCTGGATTCTTCCTGTTCTATTCAGATTCATACCCCAAGATCAAGTCCACAAACCCTGGCATGTCTGTTAGAGGCATGGCAGACAAGCCAGGTGAGCTGTGGGTAACTCATGACTGAGAAGCAGCCTTGTGACTCCAAGGTGGCCATGCTGGTTGGGAGTGATGGGGGTTCATCAGCTGCAAATTGAAAGGAAAGTTGGATAGCTGAGAGAGAGACTTACAAAGTTACCAAGAGAATGGTGGAAGGGAAAGAGGAAAAGGGAAAGAAAGTAGAGGTGGATGAGTTAAGAAAAAAATAACCTGGTGGGGCATGGTAGTTCACATCTATAATCTCAGCACTCAGGAGGCAGAGGCAGGCGGATCTTTGTGAGATCAAGGCCAACCTGGTCTATATAGTGAGTTCCAGGCCAGCTGGGGCTACAGGTAAACCTTGTCTCAAAAAGAAGGAAGGGAGGGAGAGAGGGAGGGAGGGAGAGAGGGAGAGAAGAAAGAGCCTGTTTATAAATATGAGAGAATATATAAATATGCAAAAACACAAGGTCTATCAAATAATCTCTTTTTAGAAACCAAATTACTGAAATATTTATCATAAGAACCTTCCCTTTCTCGAATCTCTCTCTCTCCCCCCTCCCTCCCCTTCTCCCCCTTCCTCTCTCCCCATCTTTTCTTGTTTTTTTAATAGTTTTTATTTATTCTTTGACAATACATTAATTGTCATCATCATCTCCCTCCATTACTCTCTTACTCCCCTCCCACCCCTCTAGACTTCTTCCCAACAAGTCCCCTACTTTCTTTCATATATGTGTGTGTAAAATATATATTTTTTTTAATGACCTACTGAATTTAATTAAGGTTGCTTATATGAGCATGGGTGCAGGGTTATTTACTGAAGCGTGGACAACTGACCAATGGTTATACCACCCAAGAAAAATGACTCCCATTCCCCAGCAGCCAGTAACTGCCTGAAGCTCTTCAGCTAGGGATAGGGCTTCATGAGCCCCTTGCCCATCTATCCAAGAATGTCAACTGATGGTTCTTGTACAGGTCTATACAGGTAACCACAGCTGCTGGGCATTTATGAGTGCAGTGCTCACCATCCTCGTTTGTTGATACTACACATATATTAAAAATTTACAAATAATGAGGGCCAATGGATGTCTCTGTGGATAAAGGAGGCTGCCACCAAGCCTTAAGACATGAGTTGGATCGCATGGAGACTCACATGGTAAAGGAAAGAGTTGATCCCCACAAGTTGTCCTCTCACCATCACACATGAAATAT